TGTAATCCTAGCACTTTGGGAGGACAGGGCGGAAAAATCGCTTGAGGCCATGAGTTTGAGAACAGCCGGCAACGTAGCAATGCTAGGCCTATACGAAGAAGAAAAAAAAAAATTGGCCTGGCCGGGTGTCTGAGTGTCATGGCGCAAGCCTGTATAGTTCCAGCCACTTGGGAGGCTGAGGCAGTAGGATTGCTTGAGCCCCAGGAGTTTGAAGTTGCTGTGAGCTATGAGGCTGCCACTGCACTCTAGGCCAGCAACACAGTGAGACTACCTCAAAAAAAAAAAAAAAAAAGTTTCAGATTCTGGAGCATTTCGGATTTCAGATTTTCACGTTAGGTATCCTCAATCTTACCTCCAATCCAATCATTAAAGCAAAATGACCACCCAGCACTCTTTTGCTTGTAACAATTCTACTACAAAATTCAACAGCAGATGGGACTACTCTTTGTAAACAAGGCTAGGAGAGAAAGAAAAGATTCTGGATTTAAGCGGAATTTTAAACAAACAGTTTTGACCCAGGTGACTTCAGGAGATTTCAGGTTTCCATGAGTTGTATTTTTTTCCTTGAATGTTTCTTAAACATTTTCCTCTTCTCTCTCAAAAGTAAAAATTGTCATAAATTTAGTGCCATTCTATGCAACTTGCCTTAGAGCTTAATCATTGCTGATTCCTAGGTTATCTCAAAATATCTAGCTAGTCCACTTCAGGTAAATGTGATAAAACTGCTTGAAACAAGTATTTTGATGTTGAAAATAAAATCCAGTAATTTTCAATGAACATTTTTAGCAAGCATTATGTGAGAAGCACTCAATTCTGGGATATGGAGGGCAAGATATGGCACTTACCTAGAAGGGACTGTGCTGTGAAGGTTCAGGGTAACTGGTGCCAGGTGCTCCTAGGAGGTCCCAGGAGAGGCACCTAACCGGGGGGGGGGGGGTGCACTGTGAGGGACGTCAGGGATGCTTTCCCAGAGGACGTGACCTCTGAGCTGAGAAATCAAGGAGGGGCCAGGGCTGTCGCTGGAGGGAAGACAGCATTTACAGTGGCCGAGCGTCACAGAGTGGGCAGGGGTATGGGGAGAGCTGAGGCTGGAGATGGGCAGGCGTGGCAGCCTCTTTGGGGAACTTGAACTTTATCCCCAAGACAACAGGGACTCGTTTAAGGATTTTAATTGACACAGTGATAGGATCAGATTTATATTTTAGGACAATTACTGCAGCTGCTGAAAGAAAAGTACAGAGCCATAGAGCTGGCTTAGGAGGCTCTCAAAAGTGATCCCATAAAGGGGGCTGGGACCTGAATTAAGGCAGTGGCAGGTGGCAGGGAGGTGGCGCTGAGCCGCGTTTTGAAGGCGGGATTAACAGGCCATGGCAACCGGCCGCATGCAGGAGTGAAGGAGAAGAGCGACAGCCCAGGTTCTGATCTGGGCAACTGAAGGGCCCCTTGCTCTATTCAGACAACATAAGAAGGGGGCACCTGGGAGGAAAGAGGGAGTGAGAGGCCAGGGAGCTCAGGACATGGAGGTGGGGAGGGGAGGTCCGACAGGTTGGCTGTGTGGGGCTGGGGTTCAGGAGATCTGGGTTGGGGTGCACTGACTGCAGTCCTGGGCCTCATCCCCACCTTGGCTTCGCATCCATAACTCTCCAAGCTCTTTTTCAAACTGTTTCCTTACTAACCATGTCCACAATTTCTCCTTACTCATACTAGCAGGCGGAGTAGAGGTCAGGGCATTGCGTAAGTGGGATGGAGGTAGGGCTTCATGGTTTTTGCAAAGCGTTTCAAAGAACGACGTAAGCCGCAGAGGAGGTGTATCTCTTACTAAGCGGTAACCAAATAATCTGGTATGATGTTTCAAACACAATTTCTGATCTCTTCCCTCACCCCAAGTTTCCAATCCTGTTCTGCTTTGGGCAAACCTTTAACCTGCATTTCAAAGACGAAGAATTGACTGGAGGCTTAACTGTCATTACCCGGCATCCCAAACCCTTTGTTACTTACAGGACTATTGTCCTGAACCTTCTGATGAGCTCAGTTTTCTCAACTGGAGAAATGAGGCCTTTGGCAAAATTGTTTCTCTCGATTTGAATTTATAAACCGGCTAATTTCATGACCCTTATATTTTTATCACTCTAGGTAAGAAACAATAATGAATTAAAGGATGCGGTAATCTTTACAAATTCTTCTTTCCCCCCCTCCAAAAAAACTTCACTAGATTTTATAATTAATCTACAAAAGTAGTTAATGCCTTGTACTGTATACCTTTCATGGAGCAGAAGTACAATAAATCACTCAAGGGCTAAAATATTAATACAGAAAAGTTAAAACATCAAGAATGAGGCCTTGGCCAGCCACAGTGGCTCACGCCTGTAATCCTAGCACTCTGGGAGGCTGAGGCGGGCGGATTGCTTGAGCTCAGGAGTTTGAAACCACCCTGAGCAAGAGAGAGACCCCGTCTCTACTATAAATAGAAACGAATTGGCCAACTAATATATATAGAAAAAATTAGCCGGGCATGGTGGCGCATGCCTGCAGTCCCAGCTACTCGGGAGGCTGAGGCAGGAGGATCACTTGAGCCCAGGAGTTTGAGGTTGCTGTGAGTGAGGCTGATGCCATGGCACTCACTCTAGCCTGGGCAACAAAGCAAGCCTCTGTCTCAAAAAAAATAAAAAAATAAAAAAAATAAAAAAAGAATGAGGCCTCTTTGGGAGGCTGAGGCAGGAGGATCACTTGAGGCCATGAGTGTAAGACCAGCCTGGGTGACAGAGCAATACCCCGTCTCTTTAAAAGAAAAAAGAAAAGAAAACATGAATGGGGCCCACTGGTTTACTGAAGATTAAGCATTTGAGATTTGGAATCTCAGCTCACTTAAATCCAGAATCTAGATTTTTCTCTGCATTCTGGTCCCTTATCTTGGTCCATTTACCAAGAAGCATAAAGCAGACATCTAAAATAAACACATTCTTGATCCACTACAGAATGTGAAGTACTATTTATGGATGTCCATAGTGTCCAGTCCCAGTCCTGCTTTTTAGCTTGACCTGGAATTTGCTAACAGCAAATACAGAATTCAAAGGCCCTCAGAGAGCACCTCATCCAGCCCCTTGGCTTGTGAGGGGCTCAAAAGCATCAAGTGGACCAGGCTGGGAGGTGGCAGAGCCAGGCTGGAGCTTCCCGCCCCACGTGCACTTGACCGACATGTTTGGTCGGGCTGGAGGATGAAGACAGGAGCCATTCGAGGATTTCAGCTTTGGTTCTGGCCTCTTTGATGGAAAATGGCCCCATCTTCCTATGGTGTCTACCCCCATCCTCCTCTTCAGATGGTCCTCACGGACAACAGAACCACCAGGTGTGGATTGACTCAACTTACCACTCCCAACAGATCTCTCCTCACCCCTTCTCACCCACATCTTCATTTCCTATCATGAACGGTTGGGTTTGGGAGATCCCCCTCTCCCATCGGAGAGGTTCACCTCCCATCGGAGTCCTCACTGCAGTCCCTCCGATGGCTCCAGGAGTATGTTCCACTGCACCATTCTTCCTCTGTTCTTTGTCTCTCCAGTATTTCCCTTTGCTCTCTCTCCTTTGCCTATGAACTTGCTCCTCTTTACCATGGCCTAAGAAAACAATCCTCTCCTCCTCAGGAACTTGCCCCTTGTGTTCATCACTAAATTTATTCAGAAAAGCCAACATTTTCTCGCTGTGCACTTTGACCCAATGCAATCTTATCTGGGATCTCACTTCTACTCCTCCAGAAAAGGCTCTTGCACTGATAGCACTGATCCGATTGCCACATTCAAGGTTTTCTTCATCTTACTTAGCCACTACATGTGACAGGCTTGGTCCCCTCCTATTTGGGGAACTAATTCTCCTAATGATACTAACTATATCATTCACCTTCTTGAGCTTCTCTTCTGCACAGTCTTCAAATGTTGGGCTTCACTGTTTTTATTTCACTATTATTTTAACAACTTCTTTGTTCCTGGTGGTCAATGTTTAAACGTCATATAACATATATAAAACACATGTGTCTGAGTGTTTTCTTTCCACTCCAGACCTTTCTCCCGAGTTCTAGTTCTACATGTCTACTGGTTCTGTTCAAATGTCCCCCAGCACTTCATATTCAGTGCACTCAAAATTGAAATAATCATTCCTTTCCTCACCCCATTTCTTCTCCTGTCCTCAATTAATAGCATCAATACGTGCACTTGGGCCACGCACAGGCAGAAGCACACAGCCTTCCTCCCCTCTAAGCACCTTCTCACCGGTCTGCTTCAGCTTCTTGTTCCTCACCTGTGCCCTGGCCCGCCTGCCATCCCCAGGCTACCGCCCAGGCCAGCCCTGATCCCTCACCTGCAGAGCTGACTGGTCTCCTTGCCTCTGCTCCTCTTTCTTCACTAGACAGCATGACCATCTAAAACATAAGTCTAAATCACTTCTCTGTTTAAAAACAGTAAATCCCCAAAGGTATCCCGCTGACTACACGATTAAGTACTACCCCTAGAAGAGCAGGTAAATTTCAGTCTGATTCACTAACCTACATTTTCAGTCTCCTCCCTATACATCCCGTCTTCCAGCCACGCTGAACTTCCTGCTATTTCAGACTGTCTTTTCACAGGTGTCAGCAGCCGCCATTCCCTTTACCGGGCGAGCTCCCGAGTCCCTCCTGCCCTGGTCCAGCACTTACGCGTCTTTCCCTGTATCATCTCCTCTGGAGCATCCTGCCACTATCTGGGAGAACAAATGCTCTGAATGTTACAGTCCCAAAACACTTCACACACACTGCTACTCCAGCACTTATAAAGAACCACGCTGAGTGGTGACCATCTCCCCAAGGAGGAGGGAGTTGGGCAGCAAGGGCTGAGCCCCGTTTATCCTGGGGGGTGGTCAGGCAGTCCAGCACGACAACCCCGACGAGGAAAAGCCTGTGCAGCCAGGGGAGGCCTCATCGCCACGAAACTCCCAGGCAACACGCGTGATGTAAGAATGATATACTGACAGAAAAGGTTTTGTGAGAGCTTTAATGGCACAAATGTTTATAGCTACAAGTTATACATGTATTGTAAACTGTATATGATGATACAAAGTGCTAACTAAATAGATGGAGAATGCATAATCACTTTGGCTCAGTTAATTCCAATAAATTCCACAACTGGTTCATTTAAAAATTCATCTGACTGGCTAAGTCTTGGATTTTCATTTTTTAGAATAGCAAATATTTTTACTGCAATCAAGGGAACGTGTTGCACTTTTCAATGTGCAAGTTTGTGCAGTTTTGCTTTTGATTCTATTTACAAATATATTAAGCTAGTTTTCATGAAACATATGAAAAATGAAGCCTGCCTTTTTGTCCCCAAATTGTAAACAGGTGTAAAGCTTTTTAAACATTAATCTTAAAATTTCAACTGTTAATTGTTGAATTCTCCTTTCCAATCATACAATCTGTTTCTGTTCAACGCAAAGCTTAAGCAAGAACAAAAACATCCAACCCATATGTTAGGGCCATCAATAAATACTGCATGATCTCATCGTACAGTAAGTTCTACTGTGATGAAATAGTCGTGTTTTGAGTAATATTCCATAATTTCACAGATACTTTAAGGGAAAAACTAAACTTATTTTCAATGTTGAAAGAAAGAAATATACCCAAGTTCAACTGTATACTGATAGAATTGCTACTGAATTTGGAAAGAGCGCAATGTGCTGCTTGTTACAAGCTGCTTTTATTGAAAGTGTTATTTTACTTTTCCCTCCCCTGATATAAATTATAATACAAATTGTATATTGTAGCAGTTTAGCTGTTTAGTTCTCATAACTTCACTAACTTTTCCAATTTTATTCAGGTTTTTCAAAATCAGTGGGCCATCAGGTTTACTTTCTCCCTAAAGAAATTCATATATGAACACTTGAAATAAATAGCTTACAGAAGGCAAATCAAGTGTTACTAGTTTCAAGAGTAAGACAGAAATAAGGTATAATAAAACGATATCCAAAATTATTTAGATATCAAATGCTAGAAAGAAAAATAAACCTCAGAAAACTACTTATATCATCTTTCTTAAAGACAGCCAGCTATATTCTTGAAAAAAGATAGACAATTTTTTGTTGTTTAATTTGTATGTTATTTTCCACTATAACACATCAATTTTACAAACCTTGATGTCAGAAGAGTTAAATAGTTTCCGCAAACTGGCAAACTTGGTTGTCATAGTATTTTTATTCAGGTCAACCTGATGCACTTTATAGATTTGCTAGTTTTAAAATTAACAATGCTTTTCTAAATATCCAATAGCAATGTCTATATCATAAACAGTAATTATTTATATATAAAACATATAGTAGTTTCCTTCAGAGCCATGCCATGTGTTCTGAAAGCCAATAAAATCTACTTGAGATAACTGGTAATCCTGATGCTTTCTAACAATTTGGTCCTAAAGCTTCACATTTGAGAAATAAACAAAGAAATATATAAGGGAAGGAATTTGCTGAGTGTTCTGGAATTTCAAGAGTTTAATATAACTGAAAAGATAGCTACGTAAGAAAATTAGCAGTTCCTGCAGGGTCACAGGAATCACCTTGGGAAGACTGCAGAGTAAACATTGATAAGTGAGAGATTGGAAGGAAACAAATGGCATCTTTTCAGAACCTTGTCAACTGTTCCCACCACCCAAGTTATGCTTTTCAAAGTTGCACAAGTACTTGGAATAACTCTGAAACGATTTCTTCAGAGTTTAAAGGCTTCAGAGTATAAGTGATGCTTCCTAAAACAAGAAGCCTGTATTAACACCACAAACTGGAAAAGCCTCTTCTTAAAGAAAAAAGAAATAAAAAAATTTTAAAAGAAAGTCATGAAAAATTCACATGCAGCTAATAAACGTAAAGATACCAAACACACAAAAATCTCAAAAGCAATTTCATATATTTCTAGGCCTGAGACGTTCCTTATCAGAAGAAAGATTCTACACCATAGAAAAGACAGCATTACAACATACGAATATTAAAATCTGCTGATGTATTTTAGTTCTTATCCTGTTTCATACCTATCATTTATACAGCTTGCCTCCTACAAATTAAAAGGCGCTATGAGGAGGCTTAGACAAAAAAGTGGCTCCAAAGCTGGTTTAAAATAATTCTTTTTATTGCCCAGGATATTTTTTTCTTATGTCTTGCTTTTTCAATTTTTTTGAAATTTATTTTTAATAACTATAAATTCAAGCTTAGGGAAGCTTGCCTTTGTCTTTAAAAAAAAAAAAAAAGAAACAAAGCTTTTTTTATACCATTTGCTAACCTGATCTCATTTTAAGGGCAAGATGGTAGTTATGTTGCAAGAGTAAAATTTATACCATGAATGATACAGGTCTAAGTCTGGTGTACTAATCAGAGATAACAGCATTGTTGACAAAATTATAATCTGCTGGTGGCATTTACGGAAAAGAAGCCCTTGCAAATTTCTAAACAACAGTAAACTCTGTTAGGAAATTCTATAGTGTCTTACAGGCCAAAAAGGAAATAAGGTTAGTAAAATGCCTCAACAGAGTCTGAATAAAATACTGGATTTGAGAGTTACTGGAATTGGATATGTAAAAATAGGGTGGTAGTTGGGTCATGCTTACAATGGTCTCAAATTCAAATAAGCTACTGTGACAATACACCACTTCACAGGTCACGCGCATTTCCAGGGCTTTCCTTTCCCTCAGTAGGTGCTGGCAGAAGGTGTGCTCAGTCGTTTTCCAATATAGATGCTGAAAGGAAGCAGAGTGTATCATGTTTCATCTGTTTCAACAGTTCTGCACCAGCTTGTCCACAGGTTGAACTCTACTTAAAAACTTATCGGCCCTTGTAAAAGGCTCTGAAGGTATATGTGCACAGTTCCCTGACACCCTGAAATTACCATTGACTTTCTTAAAACCAGTCTCCAGCCCTGCCAAACTGGTTTTATATGATTGTGTTTACCCATTAAGTCAGAAGTGGATAGCACAGGGGCAGTGATTAGACAAAGTAAAGCCAGAGAGAACAGAGCCCTCCACAGAGTAAGCAGAGCCAACCTCCTTTGAGATGTTCCTCTTGGTGGGCAAAAAGTTCTGATATTTCAGATACAAAAATACAGTAATATGCCAAATTATTTTAGTGCTCTGTGTAGAAAAAAAATTTAAAGCTGACAGTGTTTTAAAGACAGCTCTTACTAATAATTCTTAAGGATTAGGGGCTTAATATTACTTTTCTATGCCAGACAAGTATTTGGCCCCTTCAACAGCATAAGCAGAAGGGAATTTAAGGAAAATACTTAACTAGCTCCACCCCCAATGCAATAAAAGCAGCCAAGTCTTTGAAACTCTTTTTACATTCACCTATAGCAAGAGTCACACTTACAGCAAGAGAAACAGTCTGAAGATTCATGAGACATTGCAAAGTACAAAACCAACCTCCTGAGGGCAAATGACACTCCATGCACTCAGTAACTCTTATCCCTGCCCACATCGACATTTACACACTGCCCTTCCTCACAAACCTCTTCTACACTGCTGTTTGTGATTACTCTCCTAGCCCTCACAAAAGCAGATCACAAACCCAACAGAGATAAAAGGAGTGGGCTGGGAAGCTGCATAAATGTTTCTGTATTTGTGATCAGGAATCTCTCACATGCTGAGCTCCTCAAAGGGAATATATGGGATGATGCATCTTTTGCAGATCATATACTAACAATGACCCACTAGGCATGCTTACAGAGATAACATATATGTCCTGAAAAAAGTTAAAAGCTATTGTTTAACTCCTAAAATCTTTTAGAAGTGTATTTCCTATTGTTCAAGCTAAGAAAATAACAATTAAGATGTGCCTAGAAAGTTAATGAGTTACCAGTAAATATGAGGTCAATTTTAGCAGAATAAATGAAAATGCTACAAAATTAAGAGAGAAAAAAACAGCACCAACCAATTTACCAGTTTCACTCAAGACTATGATGTAATGGTTTATTTTTCCCATGGGGAAAAAAAATATTCACATCAACCCCAAAATTTACATGTTAAAGATTAGTTTACTTTATAAATTACTCAAGATTAGCTAAATTTTAAACAACCCCCCCCAAAAAAATCAATCACAGAAAAGCTTGCTTAAAAATTATCACTTAGGGGATTACTATGAACATCTTATTTTTGAATAAAAACTGGACTATTATTAAAAATGCTTATTTATAGATCATTCATGTATCAACTTCAATAATTCTTAAGTTCACCTTATTTGCACTAAAACAATAAAAGCAAAACAATACAAACTGCTTTCACATATATTTCTTACATATGAAAATAAAATATGAAGATAAAATGAATGGAAAAATTTTAGTTCATTAATACTTACCCTAGTCCCAAAGCCAAAACATGAGAAAGGAAGAGAGATGGAATAAACACCTTCAGAAATTCTGCAGAGAAAATACCCCCTTTCTTCATGGCTCCACTTTTCCTCATGCTTAAAGACACAGAACGTTTAGGGTGCCTGAAGTGGAACTCCCTAAAAAAAGAATTCAGAGGCAGCTGTTGGAAATGCATTTGCTATTTTGTGCATTACCAGGTCCACTGCACATAAACATGTGCAGATCAACTATACCCATTGACAGGAAACATGCAAGAACTCACTTTGGTGGAATGTTTTCAGGTCTACTGGACCAGTCTGATACCCAGTCTGCACTTTTCTTCATAGCTTCAACTTCCTTCTCTCCTTCTACCACTTCTTCTTCTGACTGTAAAGAAAAATTCAAACTTAAAAAAAAAAGAGGAATACAAAGACAAATCTGGACAGAAAATTACTAAACTCTTAAGATTGTATCTATCAGTAACTTTTATGTAAGAAACATGCTGTTTTTCTAAAAAGGCTGACAAAATGATCTAAGATCAGAGTATTTAATATCTTACAAAAAACTCAGGTGAACTTCACTATTATATTTAAGCACAGAATATGAAACTGAAAAACTGTATTTCAGGATATAATGCTAACTAAAGTGTGGAAAGTATGAAAAATCTTGATAATTGTTGAATCTGAGTGATGTTCACATGGAGGTCCATTGTCTTATTCTCTTTACTTTTACCTGTGTTTAAAATTTTCATAATTAAGAAAAAAGAAAACATAGCAAAAAGGATATGCTAAAAATAAAGTGATGGGAAGTAAAACTAAAGTAAGTGGAAGATGTGGTAAGGAAATAAATAATAGTATTTACTGAGCACTTAAAGAGACAAACATCATTCTGAGCACTTTACATTGATTAACTTTTACCTTGCAACAACCCTATAAAAACTATGCTATGATGGTTGCATAGTTCAGCAGATTGAATCATGAAGAGATTTGCCACTTGTCTGATGTAAAAAAAAAAAAAAAAAAAAGAACTATTAAAATCCCATTTTACAGATGAGGAAACTGAGACTTAGATTAAGTAACTTGCCTAAGGTTCCACAACTGGCCAGTAGTCAAACCCAGGAAAACTGTCTCCTTCCAGCTCCCACTCTTAAGCACTAGGCTTTACTCTCTGGAAGGAGATTCTATTTTTCAGAAAATTGCTAGACAAACTTTTTGGAAGGTTTTGAAACTATGTTAGCCAACGTTTTTTGGAATAATGTATAATAAACTGAGTCAGAATTTAACATCTATCATATCAAATAAATGAAAAAGTACTCCTTTTCATTGCTAATGATAACCTAAAGTTTCAGGCCAAGATTTAGGCCAAGAATAATTAAAATTTCCAATAGCTTCTCTTTTAATAGAACCCACAGGAATGAGAAATTCCTAAAAATGACACAGTATTATTTATTCAGTTTCAAGAAATGTGATGCTATGACCCCAAGCCAAAGGGCCTCAAAGCTAAGAAGTGTTTTGACTTTTTATTTTGTTTGAATAGGATTCACTCTTTGACCAAAGCTTTCCTTCTTTTCAGTAGGCTGGTAAGAAATGCTGAGCCTGTCATATTCACATGATTCTTTTTTGACAGGTCTAGTTTGTTGCGAAACAGCTGCCCCAGGAAGGAGCTTCAGTCTGTCTCTACATATGGATAGTCCCTTTTACTGTCAAAGCCAAAGTGAAATTCCGGCGGATGCTTGCTGTTCTTGTTAGTACCATTCTTATCTAGTTCTGCTGAACTTGGCAAATTCCACCGAATGACACAATGTAGCATTTAGGATTGGAGTTTTTCCACTGGCTATTGAGATTACTCAGAATCATGAGTCGGCTCTTTGGAGTAACACTGAAATCATCCTAAATCAAAAACAATAAATTGTTACAATTTACTTAGAGATCAGTTTGTGTGCACACAATATCTGACTATATTCAACACACTGTGGGTCATTTCTGTTTAGTATCCTACTTTGACCTCATGTTTCTCTTTAAAACTGCTCAAAGATTTAACAAGTTAAGATTTCATACTTTCCAAAGAGTAAGATTTTATGCTCTAAATATTTTTTTCAAGATGATGTAATTTTCTCTCAGTTGAGTGAAGCAGAGTTATCTTTGGATCAGAATTTAAAAAACAAAACTTCAAGTAGTTCTTTTGAAGCATTAAAAAAAAAAGAAAAAGAACTCTACATTATGTTTCTAAACATTTTCTCTTGCTTACTTTAGGAATGAGGACCACCTGCTCTCCTCAGTTATTACTGCTCTGTGCTTCTCTTATTACATTTGCCACTTTTGGGGTTTAAATTGCCTTCCTGTTCTTGCAATTCCAGAATATGGTAAAAGTTGCACTTAATCTAAGATCCATGCTTTTGACTGAATCAATTACCCCTTGAGTTTCCACTTACAAACTCAAGAACTAGCCTGGAATATTGGAATGATACACTATATACAGTCAAAGTATGGACAAATTGTGCAGCCTTCTGAAACAGAAAGAATACTGGCTGGATTCGAGATAATACAGAAAATATTTCTAGTGGTAAAGGACCCACAACACTGTACAGTGAGAACCCCACAAAACAAAGTTTTTGTTATTATAACTCATGTAAATATTCAATCAATACTTTTCAAGCACCTTAATACAGGAGGAAAAGAATGGTTCCTGTCCACAAGAATCTGTGCTATAATGACACTTTTCAGGTGATCTGACACATCAATTAAGTTCAAGGCTAGCTATGAGTATTCTATTTTTTTTTTAAATGTGTTGGACTCCAGGTCTTTTTTTATAAAATATATTTGATATGATTTATTTGTTGATTATTTATTTTTCTTCAGCATATTATGGGGGTATAAATGTTAAGGTTATGTATATTGCCCTTGACCCACCTCCCCTTGTTGATTTATTTTTAATGTATTTTTATTTTAGAGACAGGGGTCTCACTTGCCCAGGCTGGTCTCAAACTCCTGAAGGCTCAGGTGATCCTCCTACCTCGGTCTCCCAGAGTGCCATGATTATGGGTGTGAGCCACTGTACCCGGCCTAGCTATGAGCATTCTAAATCATTAGCGACAGACAGTTATATACAAACATTTGAAGTTTTATAATATAAGCATTTGTAAGATTTAAATACTATACCCATCTATATTTCCAACAGTATCAACTCCTAGTGAACTGTATTTATCTTCTTCAACTTAAGGAATCCCAGATAATTTAGATAAATTTTTATCTCTACCTCTTAAATTCATATCCAAAGTTACCGCTTTGATTTCAGATGCAGAAAAAGTTTCTACTTCTCATTCTAACATAAGCTTCATTTTCATTTATTCTGTGATTTATTAAGTTATCTGTCTCAGCTTTTTTCATTTATAAACTTAAGAAACTAGCCTCAAACATTGGAATGATACAGTATAGACAAGAATTTTCTAATTCTTTTTATAGTGACAGGGCCCAGAATTCTTAGTTGTAAAGGAGTGCAGTAAGAACTGTATCATCTTAAATAAATTTCAACATCAAAAGTTCAGTAACTTAAAATAGCTTCAAACTACTCTTAAAAGTCTTATTCTTTAATATATTGTAGCAAAACATGTTTGGGAAATTTGCATCTTTCCTAATTATTTGTTGTAAATCAGAACAGCACACACACACACACCTGCGAGCTGTGGTCCCTGCTGGTGTGCATTTCCACATCAAACATGATCTGCCCATCTTCTTGAGGGGAAGGGCTGGAAGAGAACTTAGCCATTAGTTTTAATTCTCATTTTGTTAAATGAATTAGCCTCTACCAGAAATCAAAAAATTAAAAGTTACAGTAGTATGGCTCTGAAAAAGCAGCAAACCAGAAAGTGTATCACGACCTCATATGAGAAAATTGTATGTAATATTAAAAGACTAAAAGAAATAGAGCATTCTTCCAAAATATTCTGGACTTTTTCAATGGTGATGAATTCCTTCACAAACATAAATCTGCAAAGGAACTATTATCTAAAAACACAAGATTGTCACATTTTCTTACATTTAATATTTTTCTCAATAAAAGCAAAATAATCTTCAAATTTAGAAATGTAGTTTGGGATTCTTTTTCCCAAAGTTCTTTAATCATTAAATAATTCACCACCAGATGTACTTAAAGCACATAAAGTAGTTCTCAAAGACTCTTTCAGAGGATCTCAGAGGTTAAAACTGCTTTCATAATACTATTAGGATTTATTTGCCTTTCATTCTCATTTTCAAGAGTGTATAGCGGAATTTTCCAAAGGGCTACATGATGTATGATATCCCAACAGATCAAATGCAAAAGCAGATGAGAATCCAGTTGTTTTCGATTAAGCCAGACAGTAAAGAGATTCGCAAAAATGTAAAATAATGACACTATTCTTACTAATTTTTCAGTTATAGAAAATAGTTATTTTTCATTTAAAAAAACTGTTACTTAACTTAAAATGTAATGGTTTTATTATTTTTGAATGAGTAAATTGCATACTTTTAAATTTTCTCAGTTTTAATTTCTAATATAGTAAATATCAAAATACATAAACTCACAAACAATAGCTCTTTGGGGTCCCTAATAATTTCTAAAAGTGCAAAGGAGTATAAAGACCAAAAAGTTTGAGAACCACTATTCTACTTATTTTAGAAATACTTGCTCAGAGATATTTCAAAGTGAATTATGTAAGGTTATATATGAACCTAAAACCTTCATGACACTACAAAATATATTCCCAACACTACAAAAATTTACAGATAAATTCTTAGACAAAAACACATGATCGCAAACTGTACTTAGTACAACAGATGAATAGATGTTCTAAGTTCATTTCTTAGCTTTATCAATGATTCCTTGTGTAACCACAAGTTACTAGATCTTTCACTACACACACAACCCCCTACTCCCCAAATCTAAAATAAAATAGAGATGAAAAATATGCAGGGCTTAACTTGCTCAAAGGAATAGACATTAATTACTAAAGTTACCAAGAGCATACATACAATGTTAATGTACAGAGATATTGGTGAGACTGACTCAAAAATAAGATCACCAGAAATTTACAAGACTGATTAGGCCTAGAAGTCTCAGACTGGTGCAACTGACATAGTAGATCCTTACATGGGGACAGCAGCAGGGCAAACAAACATAGTATGTATTTAAGAAATTTTTATCTTGAACTAGAAATGTCAGACTCTAGCACAGTAGCCAAACAGAAGCAGGCAATATTGTGGGCCTCAGTTTACTGTCTTTGTGCTTGTAACACTGCCTGGTTCACATCTAGGCATCAAGGTAAGGGCCAACCTTACACAGCTGTGACCAGATCAAGGTGATCAGAATGACAAAGTCAAAAATCCTCTGCAAACACTGCTCTGCTTCTGTATTCTTCTTTACTGCTGGGCACCAATCTTGCTTAGAAAAACATTAAACTCTTCACTGAACTTCTTACTACTCCTAACAGTTTGGAATGTATTAATATTAGAGTGTCAAACCTGGCTGCTACTCACATCAGCCAGGGAGCTTTTAAAATATTCTGATGTTTCTACCTTGCCCCTGAGAAGCTCAAGAGATTGGGTTTGCACATTAGTGTTTTAAAAAACTCCTTGGGTGGACCTAGTGTGCAGTCAAGGTTGAAAATCCCTACAATAGGGTGGAACACAAAGCAGAACATATAGTAGTTATCTTTCCACAACTACTGCAGTAACAAAACTATAGCTATGGAATAGTATTTAAACTGAAAATATATATAAGTCAGCTCTAGGACTAATATTCAACAATCCTAAAACTTTTCCACCTACAAGAAATACTTCCCAACAACTTCAAATGTAGAGCTGGATGGCAATTCAAATGACACAAATTTTGTATGAAGACTTTTAAATGGTATAGTGTTAGATATCCCAGGAGAGTATTGTTGTGCTAGAGCTCCAAGCCTCCTCTAAAAGATGACCAGTAACTCAGAGCCTGAAGATATGTAAGATGAAGGATAGGAATTGTTTAAAGACATTTGCCATACCTCTTTTCACATGTTTAGAAACCTACACTTAAATATGATCATGGGAGGGTGAATTCATATTCAATCACATGTGTAACTGTAATCATAAAAAAGATGACCAGGCCGGGCGCGGTGGCTCACGCCTGTAATCCTAGCTCTCTGGGAGGCCGAGGCGTGCAGATTGCTCGAGGTCAGGAGTTCAAAACCAGCCTGAGCAAGAGTGAGACCCCGTCTCTACTATAAATACAAAGAAATTAATTGGCCAACTGATATATATATAAAAAAAAAATTAACCGGGCATGGTGGCACATGCCTGTAGTCCCAGCTACTCGGGAGGCTGAGGCAGGAGGATCGCTTGAGCCCAGGAGCTTGAGGTTGCTGTGAGCGAGGCTGACGCCACGGCACTCACTCTAGCCTGGGCAACAAAGCGAGACAATGTCTCAAAAAAAAAAAAAAAAAAAAAGACGACCAGAGAGGTAAGCAGGTGACTTTTTCTCTGTTCACTGACAGCACCACATGAACAACAGGTTAATGGATATATTGGTCTCAATGGATCAAGGCTCATGTACTCGAATGCACAGTAAAAGCCTTATCACACAGGCGGTAGCAAGCAGAAAACTTCAGAAACTCAAGCGCAAAGCTTCAGAAACTCATCAGCGAGTTCCCTAATATAAGCATAATATAAAATCTTCATTCTGAAAGACAGACTAATGCTGTAGCTGCTGGAAGCAATGGCAAGCTGCTCAGAAAGGAGCCATCTGCTCTGGTTCTACTTATGACAAGAGCCTTCCCAGGCTCTAAGAAGCACAGGGACAATGAGAGATGACATGGGGGTGGCGGGGGTGCACAGCGTGCCACAGAGCCAACAAACCAGTCCTCCGGCTGCCTTGGTAACACTAGTGGATCATAAGCCACACAGGAAGTCTGAGCATAATTTAACTCTTGTTTCTCCTTTTTTTACTTTCTCTAGTAAGTAATATGTGCTATATACACAATTTCTACAAAATATAAAAATGTTAAGAAGAAAAATAACCATAATTCCATTCCCCAAGATAATCACTGTTTATATTTTAAAATGTTTCCCTAATCTTTTTCCTGTGCATATGCATTTTCGACATGATTACCAGCAGCTAACTGTTAATTTAACCAGAAGGTCATCCACTACCCCATAATGTTAACAGTGTGGCTGTCACTCTACTAGGAATTTTTTTTTTTTTTTTTTTTTGAGACAGAGTCTCGCTTTGTTGTCCAGGCTAGAGTGAGTGCCGTGGCGTCAGCCTAGCTCACAGCAACCTCAAACTCCTGGGCTTGAGTGATCCTTCTGCCTCAGCCTCCCGAGTAGCTGGGACTACAGGCATGCGCCACTATGCCCGGCTAATTTTTTATATATCTATCAGTTGGCCAATTAATTTCTTTCTATTTATAGTAGAGACGGGGTCTCGCTCTTGCTCAGGCTGGTTTTGAACTCCTGACCTTGAGCAATCCGCCCGCCTTGGCCTCCCAAGAGCTAGGATTACAGGCGTGAGCCACAGCGCCTGGCCTCTACTAGGAATTTTTACATGTCATTTAATATTTAGTCCCTCTGGGGAAAAAAAAAAGCTTCTACTGGAAAAGGAACTGACTTGGTTTCATTCTATGCATGCATCTTGCTGTATTCTTATGCTTTTGCCATAAGCAGTTCCTAATCACTGGAATTAGTTTCCCCAAGTCAAATATAGAAAAATGAGGTCTGAAATAAAACCTTCTCTGAGGAAATAGAATGGCCTCCAAAATTAACTATCTTTACAGACCTCGGCTGCTGCTTCCACTGAGCAAATACTGCTGTAACGTGAATCAACTTGCCGTTCTTATGAGTCAAACATCTACTGAGCGTGTACTACGCACCAACACCATTCCTGTGAAAGTAATAAAGACAAAACGTGACCCCTGCCTTCTAAAGCCTCACATCTAGAAGGGAAGGAGGGTATATGCAGAGGTAACTGTGATTCAAGGCAGACTGTGATCTGTCAAACAGGGACACAAAGGACAAAGGAAAATGGGAGAAAGATTAATTCTATAAATTAGCATTTTTGCCACTGAATTTTAAACTGATAAACTTCTAAAAATAATACAATCTAATAAGAAAATCTGGGGGAAAACAGTGGATACTCAAGTACTACCTGAGCTGACTTGAAAACACATGCTGCAATAAATCAGGAGGCATATTTTATAAGTGAAGATTTAAGCAAATGTTTCCTAATGGGAATTAGCTTTGTAACCCAACTGTGTCCTGTGTCCAATCTATCCAAACAGGACTCTCACTTACCTGTCACAGTGAGAACTGCCTCTTGAACTACTCTGTCCTGATTCATGTTGTGCATCCAAAAGAATCTTCTCCATGTCTCCGTTGTGGATGGAGGATGAGGATGGTACGTGTTCCAGCCCCCCATTTTTCCCATTGCCATTATCATTGCCATTGCTGCTGTTCATGGGAAGCTCCACCCAGGAACCTGTTGGACAAGCCAGATAACTTAAGTTAACCACAGCAGAACTGAAATCTGTCATGTGCACACATGTGAACATGGTGAATTCAGATAAGAATTCTGACTTGCCTCAAACTAAAACCATTCTGAAGAAAATAAGGAGCACTAAGTCTAAAAATCTATATAGTTCTGTTCGTGAAGTAGCTCATGCAATCAACCAATTGAGAAGCTGTATCTCTACAACTAACATCTTAGAAAATGTATCTTTCAGCCAATTTTCTCTCTGGTTAAAGCTTAGTTTATAACAATCAACACATCACTGAAAACTGAGGTTGCTTTTCAAAAAATAAATAGCTGCTTTATCACTAAACAGGCAACTTTTTAATATTTTAATAATATTTTGTAAATATATAAATACACATACTTTTTTCATCATCCATCTAAGCTATTTAACTGTATCTGCTTCACAAATGAAATAAACACATCTTTTAGCAATTTCATAAAAGTCATCTAAATAAGTTAACAACTATATCTTAATTAGCACAAACTGAGGAGCTCCTGGAAAGGAAACCTAAATCTTATCACAGAAATTTCAATTTTATATAAATCCAAAACATAAAATTAATGCAGCTGGTTTTTAACTAAATCAGTTGATAAATGCTAAAAAATTCAGAAAAAAGCTTTAGTTCTATCCCCCAGCTTAGTTTCTTCCTTTCCTTTACACCTCACCCTTTTAAATCTGTCTCCTTTTTTTATGCACTAACGTACCTTGTGAACTTGTCTTTTCTCTCCCACGAGTTTCTACTTTCTAGGGTTTTCATCAAGCCCCATTGGTTTCGGGGGCAGAAACAACTGCACATCAACTACAGGCAGACACGCAAGTTTTCTTAGGGGGTGGAGCCACAGAAAAAGGGGACATGGCACTGGTAATCTGCTTAGGTCCTGAAAATATTTATTGGCCCAAAGAAATTGCTGAACATATTAAGGTGCTTTAATTTTGATAAGAATTGATAACAGCAGCCAATAAACCAACTTCGACAACAAAAAGAGATAGTGGTACATACTTTGTTCATAATTTCCATTCCTTACAATAAATTTTGTTTTAGAAAATATAATCAAGGAGGTTGGTGGGGCCATTCCTCTAAACTCCCAAGAGAATTCCAGGGATGAATGTGGAGTTTCATCAGTAAATCAAAACAATCAAAACTGGCTCAAACCCTAAAATGTACTCTAAATGTGGTGATGAAAAAACCAGATCCAGAGTGAAGTCGACATCATCCTTATAAGAATGAAAACCTCAAAGGCAGACCAGGTTGGAAATCTGACTCCCTCACTTACTATCTGTCTGTATGACCTGAGCTTCAACTGCCCCATTTGTAAAACAGAGATAATAATACACAGCTGCTGTGAGGATCAAATACAGTAATAGAAAGTGCCCAGTAGAGGGAAGATGTTCAGTTACATACTACTTAAAGGATTTTATATTTATAAAGTACTTAGAACAGTGTTGGCTAAATAAAGTTATCCTTTCCTTTCCTCCTGGGGCAGCCCCAATGGCTGTCACAGTCCCATAACCACCAATTCCCTAGGACTGTGCTGGCAAACACCACAGTTGGACCACATCTCCATGGCCTCATTTTATACACACACGAAAATGGACACAGACCAGAGAGAACTCAAAATGGATTAACACATAGAACCAGCAAAGCTAAGAGAAATCTAAGATTGAAGACAATTTAAATATTTGGAGTGCCTCTGGAGTGTATAAGAAATATGCCAAAAGCATCCCTAAATTTAGAGCTCTGCAAAATATTTCAACTGGAGGGGAGAGAGAGAGAATACGTATATGAAAAACAAACTGTTTTTTCCCTACTCCCACTGTATCTAGGATTTTCTAACTTATTTTTAAACCAATGGGACCGGTTCTTCTTGTACAGAAGCCCAATGTGTAAAATAAACAAAAACAAACAAAACCCCAGAGCTGCTCTGGCAGAAGCAGAGCTAAGGAACCAGGAGTTCCAGATGGGTCTCTGTGGAAGCCAGTCTTCCCTAAAATACAATTAGTGTTCACTTGAAGTATCTCATCAAAGAGAAGAAAGGCTGTAACGAACAATACCAGGTTTTCTGGTCCTTACTCTTTTGAAGGACTTTCAACCCAAAATCTGAATTCTATTTCTTCATTAAAAATATACAAGCAATCATAATCTAACACATATTTTGGGAACCTGAAGAGACACTTAGAAAAGCTTACTGAAAGTGATCTCTATCATGGCCTCCACACCCTGTGGCACAACTGAAGGCAATTCTACTTAAGACGATTTGTATGTGGCACATATTGGTATAGAGATTAACAGCTCAGATGGAAGCCAGACCCCAATTCTTATCAGTTCTAGCTGTTTCACCTGGGATAGAGCACTTGCCCTCTTTGTGTCTCAGTTTTCTCATCTGCAAAATAGGGATAATAACTGTATCTACCTCACAGAGTTGTTAGGAAGAGTAAATGAATAAAGCATGTAAAAAAATAAGAAAGGTCGCTATTAAGTGCTATGTATTAGCTACTATAATTATATTCTGTATCTTTTAAAAACAATTTCTTTCCATAAAAATGTGTTCCTTGAAAATGTAAACATCAGTACATAAAATTAAAAAATTAACATCTCTCCTCTCATTCCTACTCCCAAAAGAGAAACCACTTTTAACAGTTTCACATGGAGACTTTCAGAGTTTTTCCAATGAAATATAGCTGTTTTTTGCTTTTGTTTTTTATAAACAAATGGAATAGTACTATACACACATATTCTGTAAGTAGTGCTTTTCAGATGTCTTTCAATGTCAACACATTGACGTCCATTCTTTTGAACTGAACTATATCTCATCATTTGTAAGTATATATTAAGAGGCTACATATTAGCTTGATCATTTGAATAACACACAAAAAAGCAAATATGTTTTTCTGAGTTGATGAACTGCACATGCCTTTTTCCCCACTGCCTCATTCCAGCCTCAGAATTTCTTCATGTTCTAACTCTACCAATCCTCACAAAGTCCCTTTTTACCTGGAAAGGAAACAAGGCAAGATATGAGGCTAACACAAGCTAGCCAAGCAATACAAAGTAGAAAACAACCTCAGACTGAATTCTCTTAATCGAGATTTAAAACTAAAAGCAGGAAGCCTTTCCTATTACTTTATTTTTTTTTTTTTTTATTTTTTTTTTTTCGATTGGCTACATCTGTGGAATTTTTTTTTTTTTTTTCGATTGGCTACATCTGTGGAATCCTATTACTTTAAAAAGACTATTTACAAGCTAAAAGCCATTCCTTTATGCCAGTTTACATATACATAATGACATATTTCTAGTTTTAAGTATTTGGGAATGGCCAGGAGATTCAGAGAAGCATGCTTCTCCATTCTCTAAGATAGCAGATCGTGAAGGCTGGTCCAATAATTGTGATTACATTCATTATTGTGGGCTGTATACACTTTACAGTTTTGTAATCATCAGCTCAATCCTCTTGCAAAAAGGGGAGTAGAAGATCTTTGGGACATGGAAAGGAGAGAATGAAGAGTATTTTTCCTTATTTTTCCCCAAGTTTTCAAGACCTTACATGTAACTCTTATCCTAACCAGGAACAACATATTTCACTATATTTATCTTCTTTCTTCAAAGGCTTTCTTTTGTAGGTTTCAGGTACTTGATGCTGGAATCCAGAACAGACCCACAGTCACTGGCATTCTTCTAAAAAAAAAAATTGCTGGTCTTTTTGCAGAAATGGATACTTACACACCAGTTATTATGTATGCAAAATGCTATTACGAGACAGTGACATTTCATGAGGGCCTCAAGAGCACTCTGGCCATAATGGGAAAGCAAGTACATCATGGTTGAAGATGTTTAAAAAGAAAAGACAAAAAAAAAAAAAAAAAGCTGTACTTCTCAACAAGAACTATACTAAACTATACTACTACCTTGATATTTGTTATACTACCTACTGAAATTTATGACATAAATGTCTTACTCCAGTATTCTTAAGAAACTCAATAGGTTTTTTCCCATTGTCTTTATTTGGAGATTATTGATAGTTTTCTTAAAAATAAAACTAACAACTGGACAATATCCCTTTAACTTTGGAAACAGTTTGGATATTTGCCCTGAACTGTCCCCCTAGAGTGGTAAAATTAAAAAAAAAAAAAATCTGAGAAAGGCTTCAACTATTTCAAATATTTCAATAATTTCCTATTAAAACTCTGCTTTGATCCTTGAACTGAAGAAAAAATCCCAAACCAAAGATAATGTGTACAATGAGTTTCATCTCCTGTTTTTCACAGTTGTGCAACTTTACTCAATAAAGCACTTCCACTTATCAGCAATTTGGACAGTATTAGATGCCTGAATAGGCTGTTTTGCCCAGTGCCCAAATATCACTTCAAGGAATCAATAAGGCTTCTTGTTTTGTTGAGTCCAGTGTTGTGTAATGAGCTAAAACAAGGAACAGAGTAAGAAGCAAGAGGGGAGTAATTAAATATGGCATTATCTAAACACTTTTCAGTAACTTTTAAAAACTCAGCCTACCCCAAATAAAATACTTTCTATCTAGCAGATTTCCCAAAGCAACATTTTGATATCACATACAGGCTGAGTGAACTTCCACTTCAGTAAGAGCTAATGTAAACGTAGCAGGAACTGATTGGCCAAAGACATCAAACACCTTAGAGGTCTGTCAGACATCAAGATAAACAATCACATTGGAGCTCAACCCATTTTTTTGTTAAAGGGTCAAAGGAAAATTAAAATCCCTTTGTCTTCTGTGAAATCATGTACACATATCAATCAAATCTTAACTCATCAGGAAACAGTACAATTAAGAACAGAACACTAAAACGAGATGGACAGGTGGGCCACCTGCATACATTAGGTAGTGTAAAAACTGAGAGAACAAGAAACACACATTGGGAGATTCTGGACCACTGTCCTGAAAAGAAGTGTCCTCAAAAGAGCACTAGACTGGCTGAACGTTGGAACCTCAGCTCTAGGTTCCAGCCAGCTGTGAACTTGGACTAGAGCCCTTACTCTAACCTGTTTCTTTATTGGTAAATAATAGGGCAAAGTTAGCTCTTAAGTCTCTTCCCATTCTAAAGTCCATGTTTCTAAGAGGATGTTAAAAATAAGTAAATAATTTAAAACTGCATATAAATATGTGATACAAGGGACATTTATGTTAATTCTAGTTTACTGTTGGAAATACAAAAATCTTACATTTTAGAATATAAAATAAGACACTTAAAAGGTTTTTTTTTTAAAAAAAAAAAGGTCAACATTTAGGGAATTAACCCATCAAAACATGGAGCTGCAGCATCCATCTTAAAATATCCAAATTCCATCCCCACCTTTTGAGGACAGGAACTCTCTGAAATAATGTTTAGGCCACGTTCAAAGTACTTCCCATCCTATGAAAGATACTGCATGACCTTTAAGCCTCCAAATGGTTTTCAAAAGATTTCGTCTGGCCATATGGTAACTGCCCCCACTACGTCTTTCATAAGAGAAGATTTACAGAAAGGTTAGGCAAGAATTTTTCCAGGACGACTCCGAGCTCTCACAACTGGGAATAGCCTTAGGACAAGATGTCTGAGCACCAGAATGTCATGAAAAGCAGCTGGAGTTGGGGGTAACTCAGTTCTGCCCACTAACTTTCAACTGCCCGTCTGTCTGCACGAGTGTGTTTTAAATGCCGTTTCTGAAAATTCACTGCCCCGGACTCCGTGGTGTGTGCCATCCTCGGGGTGGCTCAGGAGGCCGTTCTTCGACAGCTTTACCAGACACACAACCCCATCGTTAAAACAAAAAGAAAAAAGAAAAATCACTCGAGCAACTTCGAAAAATCTCAAAAAAAAAAAAAAGGAAAAAAAGGAAAAAGAAATGCACAGCCTCCTCACCCCCACACGTGATTCAAGCAACTACTGAATTACCAAATGGATTTTCCTGACCAACATGTGGCAACAAAGGGACGCAACCGGAGGGCTCACGTGCCGGCCCCGGAAGCGCGGCCCGCGGGGTGGGCTCGGCGGGCGCCCCGGAGCTCCCCGACCCCCGACGCGGGCCGGGCGCCGCCGCGCCTCCAGCCGCGCGCGTCCATCCCGGGCCCGCCGCACGTCCGGGCCGGCCATCCCGCGGCGCGCGCGCCCCCGCCGCCCCTCCCCGCCCGATTGGCTCCGCTCCTGGGGGACCCCAGGTGGCACTCGCGCGTTCCCGCCGCTCACGGTCTTCGCGCCGCGTCCGCCGCGGCCCCAGAGGCCCCCAGCCCAAGACCCCCGGAGCGAGCGGAGACGGCCCAAGAGGAAGCCAGCGGCACCTCCTCCTGACAGGTGACGGGCGCTGTCAGTCAGCCCAACATCCTCGGCCCTGACCAATGGGCTGCCTTCTCCTCCCGCCCCCCGCGCGGCGCCGGCGCCGGCGGCCAGGCCAGCCCCTCCTCCCCCATCCCCTCGGCCGAGCCCGTCGGCCCAGCACTCACTGTTGAGGCCGGCTGGGGGGGGCAAAGGCTGCTCCCCTTCCTCGCAGTTATTGTTGTTATTGTGCAGGGGCGGCGGCGGCTCGACTAAGTGGGACGACATGGTCGCACGACTGGAAAGCTACGGCCGCAGCACGACCGTCTCCGGTTCTCCGGCAGCAACACAACAAGCCGAGTCCCCCGCCCCCTTTTCTG